GGTCTGTGGGTGGTTGCCGGGTGTTTGTGTGTTCTTTGCGGGGTATTCAAGGGCCGTTTCAGGGGGGGATGTAGGGGTGTGCTGTGGGGAGGTTCAGGGGGTGTTTGGGGTGCTCGGGGGATGTCTGTGGGTGGTTCTTTGTGGTTTATTCAGGGGCTGTTTCAGGGGGGGTGATGGGGGTTGTTTGGGGCGTGATTGGGAGTGCTTGCGCAGTCCAGGAAAAACAGAAGAAGAAGAGTTCAGAAGAATAAGAAGAAAATTCTAATGTCTTTCAAGAACCAGACATAGGGGTTAGGTAGTGGAAGGGGTAACATTTGTATCTCTTTGTAGGGCCTAGTGCAGAAGGGTGAAGAGGGGAGAATGGTGAGGGTTGCTGCTCAGCTCTCACTTTTGTGGAGCCTGGGCTGCTTCCCGGAGCCCGGCCTGCCAAAAAAGTCGGTTCTTGAGGTCGACGATGCTCCAGGGGCCCGGTAGGATGCCGGCGTAACTTTTTGTCGTACTGCGGGGTGCCTACCGACCGCCTAGCGTTCAGCGCCGATGGGGCGAACCATCAGCAGGTTGGCAGCCGACGGTTTCTGGCCTGCTGACATGTGAGCTTTTGCAATACTTTGCATTCCCGGGTAGGATCCTTTTCATTCCTTTATAATGCTTTTTTTAAATCAATTTGTTGTTCTCAATATGTTATTTATCTGCTTGTCCTGAAATCTACAGCACCACAGAATACTTATCAGAGTCAATGAGACCTTCTTGAAAACCTGCTAAGTATGTATGTCAAAATACTGGATTGTGGTGCTGAAAACCAAAAAACAGGTGGATGACAGGCCATACAACTATACGACTGACGTGGCAAGAGGAAGTGGCACAATTGGCAGGGGATCGCAGTTGTCTGGCAATTTTTTCCAGTTTTTGACTGAGGGTAGACACACACTGTATATTAGATCCAAGGGTTATTTTCCCATTTCCGTAGAAGCCGAGGTCCCTTCACAAGGAGTCACTAGTATTCTTGTTAAACTGACCCCTATTCCACCACCCCCACCTCCTCCGGCACCCCCTCCGGCACCTAGTACCCCACCAGCTCCTCCTCCCCCACACCCTCCTCCTCCTCACCCTCCTTCTCCTCGTCATTCCACATCCGCTTCTCTTCACACCTTGACCCGTTCGGGGGGTAACAGTCATCATATTGATGAAGATGTCACCTCGACGGATCATCAGCTGTCCCCAGGTCCCTCGACTCTCTCCTCGCCCTCTTCCTCGGTATCGTGGAACGGAAACCAAACTCTAGATATGATAGGTCTTAGCAGTGCACCAACACCAAACCCATCCCTAACCCCTCAGGCCGTCATTCCTAATCAGAGCAATCATAATCAAGGAGCCCAAGATGCGATCCCAACTGGTGGCGTTTCAGAGAGGCGAAACCTAACTGGCTACAATCCCACACACGTTGGGATCCCAACTGACGTTTCCAGGCAATTGGGAGCACCAGCCTCAGCTCCACCAGGCAACAAAGGAGGAGGAGGAGCAGGAGCAGGGAAGACAAGCATTATTGCTGTGGCAGGCGGATGTGTGGCTATGGTTATCTTGGTGATCGCGTTAGTCGTGTTATGGGTTAATCGACGGAGGCGGAAGCGAGTTGTGGCGAGACCTAGAACCCCTCAAGGAGATAATAAAGCAGATGTCATGCGAAGGCCTTTTCCTCCTCTTGTTGCTGCCGCTCCTGCTAGTGCCGCTACTGTCGATCCACCTGTGGATTCATCCTTATCATCAAATCAAGGCCACATGCAGGAGCAAGAAATCTCCAGACCTCTGTCGTCAGATTGTCCAAAGTCGACCCAGATTACTGTTGGATTATCTTCTGCATCTGTTCCAGGTATTCCCGAAGGTAGTCTCTCTCTCTCTGTCTCTGTCTCTCTGTCTCTGTCTCTGTCTCTTTGTCTGTCTGTCTGTCTGTCTGTCTGTCTGTCTGTCTGTCTGTCTGTCTGTCTGTCTGTCTCTCTCCCCGCCCCCCCTTTTGTGCCGATCAATGGTTTAAGAGTTTGTTGGATCAGGATTGAAAAGGAAGTTAAAACCATGGTTGCCCTGGACCCAGACTTCCAGACACTGGATACCGGGCCGAGACCCGTGTTTGGATTAATCCAGACGTCCGGCAATCCGGACATACGAACCCAGACGGACCGGTTATAGATGAGCAATTCTGAATGTTCGGATTTTTTTTTATTTTTATTTTTATTTTTTTTAATTACAAAACAACAACAGCAACAACAACAGCAACAACAACAGCAACAACAACAGCAACAACAGCAGCAGCAACAACAACAACAACAACAACAACAACAACAACAACAACAACAACAACAACAGACATGCTGCTGCTGTTGTGTTATCCGACTTATCTTGAACACGCACACACACACACACACCTTTGTGGATAATTCATGGACTCTGTTGGACAATGGCATTAGGGTGCACACAGTGGGGAACATTACCACTTTCTATCATCAAGCGGTAGAACATCACTCGGTCTGGCTCGCCCATCAAGAACACTATGTTGATGTGTACCCGCAAGTTCTACAGCTGCCGGAGAGCAATGCGACTGAACCGCCTCATTCCCTTGTGCATGGCCAGGCAGAGAGCCTTCCCTTTGTAGATCGGACGGATCCTGCTACGGAAGGTGAAGGGGCCTCCGCACAGGACGATGGCTGTGCCATCCCATTCTGTCGTCACAGAACTACAGTTCGGTTGGCACGCACATGGCAGGGTCTATGCTCCGAACACTATGAAGGGATGGTCACTGCCAGCCTCTGCCACAAAAAACTGTGATCCTTCGTCTTGTACTCAGCCTTCCGACCCCCTAATTGTTTGCCCAGCATGCCGTCGTCGCCTCGACATGGTATGTCTAAATAGCTGTGAACATCATCGGCCTGCTTTCCTGTTGACATGTCAGCAACATGCTATGTGTCGTCAATGTTTCCAGGAAACTGTCATAGAAAGTATGTGTCGCTATTGCATGGACTATCCCCAATGGCATCATCCGCTGCATCCTTTCCTAGCATGTCCCGCATGGACCGTTGGGCGCATGCCAGACGACTGACAGACGCAGCAGCCTGAGGTGGGTAATAGACTACCATATGAACCACCTAGTGAGCGGTGTACTGAAAGGATATCTCCACCGGGACGAGCTGTTGCGGATCAAATTCTGCAGCAGCTAAGCATCCTTGCCTTGGATCAATCCTCGTCATCGTCTGCCCATAGAGAGGATATAAATACTACAGAAACTCGTGAAACCTGCTCATTGCCTCTCTGTGATGACCCGCCTGAAATCGGGCTGGCATGTGGTTCACATGCCTGGTGCCGTGAGGATTATCACGGGACAGTCCATGCGAGTTTCTGTTTTCATACGTATGATGACAGTCAGTACTGCACTCATGTACGGCACCCCGACATGTCGTGTCCAATATGCAGACAGGGGCTGGAACGACAACGTCTTTACGGTTGCGGTCGGCGTCCCTCCTTGTTCCAAGCGTGTGGGAGCCACGTGGCCTGTGACATCTGTCTACGCCGAGCCATTCGATGCAGCAACTGTGACTGTGAGAACCGGATGCGATGTTGCCACTGTCCACACCCAAACCGGTCCTGTCTGGTCTGTAGCGGTGGCAACTTACCATAGGCAACGGCTGTGCTCCGCAACTCAAAATCTTATGCAACCCAAACACTAACTGGCCTCATGTGCCATTATAGAGTAGTCTGCTCCGACAATGAGTGTTAGAAACACTGTGAAGTTCATCACATCTCTATCCTCTCCTTGGCACTCCGCTTCTTCCCCTACCCTTTCTCCCCCCCCAGCCCCTACTCCCTACAGAATCCCACTCCTGAACCCGTTCCTTTACCCTCCCCTTGTGTTACTACCAAAACAACATACAAATGAGCATCATTAAGAGAACCGACAAAGTACGAGTTGAAGATATGAAATGAAATGAACAGGAGTATACCTTCCCCTTTACTCTGCCTCCTTTCATAACCGTGCAAGTGGGCCGTTAAGGCACACGGGGATGTGGGCAGCTGCCGCTCAACCTCAATCAACGTGGGCAAAAAGGGGAGCTGCAAAAATGGAAGGGGTACCCCAAGGATAACCAAAAAATTGTCTAATTGTAAAATTGTTGTTAAATGCTGGACTGTCTCATCTTAAGTGCTCTCGTTGTATGGCAAATAGTCACACAACCCAAAAACAAAGGAGGTCTAGGGATCATCGATCCGGCTACCCAATTCCAAGCCCTTCATATCAAATGGATTATCAGACTTACCCTTCAAGGAAATCTACCCTGGATACAACTAGCTCTATATCACGTAAGAGAGCTGGCACTCCCCCCCTAACATGACAGGCCTCTTCTGGATCTTCAATAAACAATGGACCCTCCCGAGAACGAAGAAAGCCGCAGGAATCGAACTAAGGCATGAAGAGAATGGGACCAATGAACACCCTAAAGCATTCTGGGAACAAATAATACACACGTGGAGAAAAATTTTCCCGGAAAGCAAGGTCGGCCCAAAGAGGAGGGACGAAGTGCTAAGACAGCACCTATTTGAAAACCCATGGATTAAGGATGAAAACGGGGAATCCTTCCCACTCAACAAAACAAATTCCAAATGGGGCCTATGGCTGGAAAAAGGGGTATGGCAAATCCAACATCTATTGAGCACAGAACATAACAGATGGACCACAGAAGGAGAACTAAGAACGATACTCAAAGGTAACCACAACCTAAAGCTTAACTTATCACTCGTCGTAGACGCCATCCCCATAGAATGGAAGAAACTATTGGAAAATAAGCAACAATGGCATTGGGGTGATTGGGCAGCAACAATAGACCAAGGGCAACCACAGGAGGTGCTTAAAATTTCAGAAACGAAACTTTTCCACGACAAATGGATTCTCGGTTCCATCTTCCCATTAGAAGAACCAGGTAACCCAGCAAGTCTTATCTCCCAAAACCCTAGAGCAGAAGGAGTATTCAGAATAGACAGACTCAGAAGAATTAGAATCATAGAAGGCGAAAGAAACAGAGCATACAAACCGGACACAGCAATACACCACCTAGAAATAGATCCTATAGAATGGTCTTGGAGCACCCCCACCACGATCCCAACAGAAACCAGACGCCACGGCCTAACAGACTACACACCCAGGCTTGGATATAAGCTATTAAACAAAACCCAACCAACCTTAACAAAAATTAAAAAAAGATGGGAAAGACATGAGAGCACTCTAGGAGAATCACTGGTACACCCTCACTGGCCCACAATCTTCGGCACTAGACCGGTCAAGCTGGCCAGCCTCCTCTGGCTCATAGCATTCAGAGCAGTCCCGGTAAACCAATGGCTAGCCCAGAGAAGAAACAAGGACAACAGAACGGAACAGTCAACCTGGTGCAAGGTATGCAACAAGCAAGCAGAGGAATCTATAAACCATTGTTTCTTAGATTGTGAACATGCAAAACAACTATGGTTGGACATAGAACTCTCATGGAATACCCTATCCAATAGAAATATACTCATAAACCCCGCTACCATACTCCTTCACGCAGACCAAACTCCTACACTCAAAGGTTTCGACTACTTCCTCTTTTCTCTACTCAGAAAAGGAACCCTTTGGGCCATTTGGAAAAGACGTTGCTATCTAACTTTCAACGACCATCACGCCCCCGCAGAAACACCCCTAATTATCATCAAACAAATAGTTGAAACAGAAATTTTAGCAGTATGGAAAAGAAACCTACATCAAATCCCATTACTACCAGACAAAAAAGAAGAAAGTACCAAAAAATTCCTAATCCACAAACTAGGACAAGGCAAACTAGGTACAATCGATAGTGACAGAATTAGGTTCTCTAATTGGTTAATCTGGCCCTCAACAACCAGACACACACGTGACCAAACCAATACACAACTCATTCCACAAACTCCCCCCAACCCAACCCATCCACACACATACTAACCATAACAGATGAAGAACCCACCAGTGACTTCCCTCGCCCCACACCATCCCATCTCAGCTAACACCATCAACTACTAAACCCGTTTCCTCGCACACAATGACAATCCCACCCTAATCTCAATAACCATCACAGCCCCTCCCCTAGCCCACAGCCTTATACCCCTTGGTACGGAATCACATAATCACCTGCCCCTCACACCTCACTCTTCTCGTCTCCCTCCCTTCCATCCATCTCACTCAGAATCCACAGGTATATACAACACCCCCAACAAGGAAACCTCTCTTAGGGAAGTCCCCTCATACAAGCCGCAGTCAGCAAGGGTTTAGGGCTTTAGTTCCAAAAAGGAAAAAGAGCAGAAACATAGATGATCAGGCTAACTTAGGCAGGGGTGAAGGGTGGTACATCCCTCTTTTATGAGGTAATCAATGCCGTCCTTCGGGCCTCCACACCTTGAGGGGGAGGTGCGTGAGTGAGTATCTCTTGTAATTTTACCAGACTTGCCGGGTGGAATAGGAACCGGACTGACGCTCCCCAAAATGGAAAAGGAGCCAGAACTCTAAGGTTCTGTTTTAAAAAAAANAAAAAAAAAAAAAAAAAAAAAAAGTGCTCTCGTTGTCTGGAATAGCACAAAACTGCTTTGATTCTGAATCTATTCATCTGGGTGGAATTGGGGCTGTTGCGGGGAAAAGTTATAACACACGCGCGTGCACACACACACACAGTTTGTAGGCAGGGGCTGAAATGGCAATGCCTCTATAATTGCGGTCGACGTGCCTCTGTGTTCCTAGCATGTAGGAGCCACGTAGCCTGTGACATCTGTCTGCACCGTGTCGTTCGATGCAGCAACTGTGACTGCGAAAATTGGATGCGGTGCTTC